GAAATTAACAAACAAAGCATATATGTATATATATATAGATAAACAAACAATTTAGACATTTCAACATTCCCAAAACACATTGGTTACACAACAGAACCCAATGATCACAAAACAATAACCCACTGATTACAAAACGGATTAGTCAAAACAAAACCATCCCATCGGTATTACCACCACTACCGTCCCTTGCTGGACCGCCGAAGTTGGTCATTCCCGAACATAAGATAACCTACGAGCTTGCAAGCCACGGACAAGAACTACTGACGTGCCCCCTCTGTCCACACCTGGAACAATTACAAACTTCCCCAACTGGGGCCTGGGAACTCGACTCTACTGAGGCCCTCACAATCTGGCCTGCTAGTCCCTCAGAACAATACTGTTCCTGCCCAGTCAAATGAAACTGAGCCTGGCTAGGTTGCAAAACCCCTAAAGAAGCCCCCGGCTGAGTACAGAAACGTCGAATATGACTCGGCTGATTACACACCCAACAGGTAGGCGGTGCCTGAGCACAAGACTGGTTCAGAATCTGGGCTGGTGAAGACCCCAACGACTGCCTCCCCACTGAGCATTTGATCAGTCCAAAACCCAGCTGGTTAGATGATCCTGGTGGTACAACTACTGGTTGAACTGCTAACCCTGCCCCCTTCCTCTGTGGGCAACCCGAAACCTTGTGGCCCAGTAGACCACATTTGAAACAAATGACACCCCTCTGTTTACGTTCTCCCGAACCCAAATCCGACACTAGAAGGGTAGTTCTAGCTCGACCTCCCTGTTGCGGGTTTAAACCCCTCTGCCTCTTAAAAGGCCTACCAACACCTTGAGTCACGGGAGTTGCCGAGATGGCTCCCTCTCCACTCTGCCCCATTGCTTGCACCGCAACCTCTACGTGGGTAGCTGCCTCAACAAACACACTATATCTTTTATACCAAGACCCCGCTATCCTTACACGGATGTCGTCACGCAGCTTACTCTCAAACTCGTAACAACGCAAGTCCTATGTCTCTACTAATTTTGGAGCAAACCTCGACAGGTTAGCAAACCATCTTTCGAACCGGACCAAAGGTGTAGTACCTTGGCGTAACTCCACAAACTGTTTCCGCAACTCTTCCCGAGCGGAAGGAGGGAAATCGCAACTTCCTCGCCTAGGCATCCTAGTAAAAGTAACAGAGACACGTTAGCACACTCATACATGTGCTGAAGCTAAACACTCACGTCCTAGTACATGGACAACTGTAATTCACTCCACGTAAGCACATAAACACATAAGCACTTACGAATTTCATTTCCGAATAATGATAGTCCCGAGGCGTTACTAGAGTTCCGGTCAGAAATAGCATTGATCAAGTGCCTTTCCAACAGGACTCCCAGAAACCCAAGGATCTAATCAACATCCAAGAAACTACATTCCATACCCAAATAATCACATAAATATGTTATCACATAAGTACATAACATTACATCCCAAGTCTCTAACCAGTGAGACAAACCCATTATGTTACTAATCACTTCCCACGCACCCAAAGTATTTGAACCCGGTGTGCTCTGATACCAAGTTGTCATACCCTCAAAATAATAACATTAAACCCATCAATATAAACATGCATTTATACATAATAGATCCACATTCTTCAATTCATCAGAGTATTTCATTACAAAAGTATTACATGTTAACAACAAAAGCAAATGCCCTACGGGCTTACAGCTTTCCAAGTTAACACTTGGTTACAAAAGAGAGTACTAACTCAATTACACATTAAGCCCTTGGCTTGAATTTACATGTAATACATCAAAAGGAAATGAGACAACAAAAGTCTGTCTGCCTCTAGCCTCCCAAGCTATGTCCTTGGAGGTGGCATGCTACCTGTACCTGAAAATGATGTTCCCATATAGGGTGAGCCACAGCCCAGTAGAAACATACTAAACTGACTATGAACAATGCCTAAAAGATTAGCAACTGATAGATGGTCAATACTTACACTTACATTTACATCTTATTACAATTCCATGACAGTCAAGTCTATGTTACAATTCACTTTCCATTTCTTATTCAACTTTGAGTTTGAAAACAAGGCTCAGTACTCTGGCCAAAACATTTTGATGAGATTATAGTTCATCACTAGAACACTTTCGAAATTCAAGGTGGATACACATTTTGGTGTTGTATCAATAACACATAAACTACTTCCATACTTCGCAAACGATGATGATATACATTTTAATGCTATATCAAATTAAACAACTTTTCAATAGATAAGCATATGAGCTATATCACTACTACAACAGATAAACACATGAGCTATATCAATACTTCAACAGATAAGCATATGAGCGAAATCAAGACTACAACAGATAAGCATTTGAGCTATATCAAGACTACAACAGATAAGCATATGAACTGTATCAACATTCCAATAGATAAGCATATGAGCTGTATCAACACTTCAATGGGAGAGCATATGAGCTGCATCCCGAGTCCATCCCCTATCTTCCCTTAACCATTAACCGGTTTAGAGGTACATCCCCTATCTTCCCCTAAACCGTGGCGTACATCCCCCATCTCCTCCTATACACAAGCAATGCATATAAACACAGAATCATATACGTAATCAATTAATACATAAAGTTAATGTATTCTATCAACCGTCTACACATAATGCATATAAACACATTGGTCATATATACACTCAATCAATACATAAAGTTAATGTATTCTACCAACCGTCATACTCTATGACACATCCGATTGATTAGTTTTAGTTTACCTAATTATCATGCATTGTCTACAACAATCAATACTACCCTCCATCGGTAACCCAGAGCAATTATTTCTAAATAGGAAATAAATGCACAAATGGATAATATATCAACATTTCAATTAGGTGAGCAATAAATGATTTAACTACACCCTTTAGTCCCATACATCCCCAATTTCAACATTTCCAATTCAATTCCTCATTTCCTTTAATCAATTATATACATTAATTAATTAAAACAATTAGGGCAAATTACCTTACCTAACAAAACAACTCTAAGGTTCCATTTTCATCCACAATCCATCATCCAACTCATTTTCTTTTATACCAAACTTGCATATAGGTCTATTCCAAACAAAACCCCAACTTTTGTAAAATTACACAAAAGGCCCAAACTTTCTCAAATCTACCCAACAACATCCAACATATCAAAATGCTAAAATTTAAAGACAAAATCCATAAGGAGGAGTAGGATATCCCTACTTCAAAAGATGACACTCAAAGGAGAAGACGAAGAAACTCAACGTGCTCCAAAACTCAATATATTCGGACCAAAAGATAGCCCTTGATGATCAACCCAACTTTTAAAAAGACCATAGGTAAGGAGAACACCCTAGCTAGATCAAACCCTAGAGAGAAGGGAGATTCTAGAGAGAGGAGCTCTTAAAAATGGGTTTTTGAAAAAGTAGGAGAGAGAAAAAAAAGTGAAAAGTGATTTAAAATCACCCAACGTATAACTCATATACGCACGACCCGCTCGAGCGGAGAATAGAACCCTCGAGTGTCAAGCACAAATATCTGGTACCGCTCGAGCGTAAGGATGACCGCTCGAGCACCAAGAAACAAAAGCAAAACACATCCGCTCGAGCGTGAAGAACCAGTCCGCTCGAGCGCAGATTTTCATGTCCCAGAACTTTTCAGAAAAAGAACTACCCGCTCGAGCGCCAACAATCCCGCTCAAGCGCGACTCGCTCGAGCGCAAGAAACCCACTCGAGCGTAGAAAACACACCTGCAGAAGTTTTGTAGGGCCATGAAATACTGGAAGTGTGTAAACCCCGCTCGAGCTTAAGAATACCCGCTCGAGCGGACAACCAAAAACCAAACTCCGCTCGAGCGCAGAGTGACCCGCTCGAGCGTAACACCAAAATTCTGGGCAACAACACTAGAGACCAAAACTCAATCTACCTGTTCGAAACATGCCCAACACATCCTAAAACTCAAACACTAAGAGTAAAGGATAGAAACGAGAATAAGACGACAACACAACCACAGAACTGAGTCCGGATTACAGTTAAACAACCAAGGGAAAAACCGGGATCGCTATACTCTATCTCTGTTTTCTCTTTGACTAAAGTAATTTTATCTTATAGTTTCATCTTATACTTAATTTATACTGGTAGCCAGTGACGGAGGGAGGATGGAACCAGGGGGTCATGTGCCCCCCCTGGATTTTGGGATTTTTTTTTTGTTTTTGCAAAACATAGAGAAAATATTTTAAATAAAAAAATTACAAGAATAATATTAGAGTAAAATGCCAATGAAATTTTAAAAATTATGAGAACAATAATGGTTATTTTGATGGAAAATGAAGAAACTACTATAAATAAACCATATTAGCTATGAAATTTTTTGAATGTAACGGCGATGTCATTATTAGTGATATGCAAGTATAAATAATCTCACTATAAATGTATGAAATTTATTGGATTGTTAGTTACATTTAACATGTGAGGTTCACTCTCTATTATTTACCATCAGGGGGTGATATCACATATCAATGATGATGTGATGTTATCATTATATTGAATTTTTAATCAAATTTTGTGTCAAAAAATAATTTATCATTATATAATTTATTTTAAGGCTTATATCTATATATTTTTTTGTATTGTCCATGATACACTAGTTACAAATAACATTCAGCTTGTTTGTTTCCAGTTTTCAGAAAATTTTACTTTTTAATTTTTCGTATTTTAATGTTTTGAATGAATTTTTTTAATATTTTAAGCAATTTTTTTAATATTTGGGTCACAAATAATAACATTTGCCGACCAAAAATTAATTTTGTCGCCAAAGACGTGGAAATTTTAGAGGGAAACCATATAATTTCCCCCGCCTGTTCTCTGTTTAAACCAATTAGATTGTTCTCTGTGACTTAGGGCTTAAAAACATGTTCGTCTCTCTCTCTCTCACTTTGTGACTCTCTCAGTCTGCGATTGTCTCTGTCTCTCGCATCTGCCCAGCTCTCTCTCTCTCTCTCTTTTGTCTCCATCGTCGTTGGTACAGGAGCACCATCGGTATCAACACCCGTCGCACATGAGGACCATCGCAAACCAACAGCCTATATCATCTTATCTTGTAGTCACGATCCATCATTGGGGCACTAGCCAAGGTATGTTCTCTCTCTCTCTCTCTATATATATATATGTATCTCTATATCTCTATCTTTGTTCCCCTAATTTCGGCCTCTAGGGTTTTTTTTTTCTTTCATCCGCATACCTTTTTCACGCAAACCTACCTTTAAATCAACCCAGCCACCGCCATTCATGTAGTGGGCAAATGGTTTCCTTCACTCTTCCCATCTTTAGCTCTATATCTGCGAAATCCATTCTTGAAACCCCTCCTCAAACCTTCCTTTCCTAAACAATTGAAAGCACCAAGTATTTATTTTAAATGTGGTATAAAAAGCATGATCTGAGATTAAACATTTTGATTTAATTGCCTTGTATTTGTATGAGGTTGGGTTTGCTCTGAAACTGTGTAACAAAGCTGATTTAAATTGTGTTTTATATTGTTGAGTTCAAACCAGTGCCTGGGCTTTCAAGACTTTATAATAAGTCAAAGACAAGCTCAACTTAGAAAAATGTTGTTCCATGCCAATTTGCTTCACATTGGTTGCCTGCAATCGATTAAAAATGGATTGATATTTATCTTGCTTTGTGGTTTTTTAGATGGTGTTGATTGGAGATGAATAGCGTCTACCAACTAAAAGTAAAAAAATATCAAACTAGTTGTGTCATTTCTTTCCCATTTTCTAAACATTGAAAACTAGGCCGAAGGCTAAACTGGCTGTGCCATTTAGCATCATGAGGCTTAGACCTTGAGAACTGATATGATTTAATTGAATCTGATTTTTTATGCTTCCACACCTATATAAGCATTTCAGGCTCTTCAGTTATGGACGGCTCCTCTGTAGTGCAGCAAAGCTCTAATCAAGACCCAAGCTTCCAACGGGTGCCACAAAGTCAGCAGCAGCAAAGGGCTTCCAATGCTACATCGTTGCCCACGTCAAGAATGGGCCAAGTTTCACTTCCCCCTGGCCCACATGTCCCTGGCTCTTTCATACAGGATCCTAATAATATAGCCCAGCTGCAGAAAAAACCTCGATTGGATATCAAGCAGGAAGACATTATGCAACAGTAGGTTCTGTGACAACTACTGCAGCGACAGGAATCCATGTAATTACAAACCCGCAATCCTCAGTTGCAAGCTTTAATTCAGCAGCAGAGAATGGGACAACAGCAGCAACAGTTTCTGCAGTCTATACCACCAGTGCAGCGAGCCTACATACTACAACAATAGCAACAGCAGCAATAGCAGCTGCAGTTGAGACAACAACTTCAACAATAGGGTATGCAACCTATGTCTTCCATAAAACGACCCAATGATAATGGTGTAGTTCTCGTCGACTAATGCAATAATTATATCATCGGCGGCAACGACCCCCTGTGAGTTGATTACTTGTTGACTACATCTAGCTTGTTTATTCTTTCTGCACTTTGGATCTGTTCAGACATTTTCCTATTTGTTTGGCTATAAACATACTCAATCTTTGTTCATTTAGATACATAATTTTGATTGAGCTCCATGTTTTGGCCTGACTTTGTCATGGCACTATTTAATTTAACAGACCCATACTATTGCCTACTAGAGGAAGTTTGTCGCAGAGTACTACTCCCCGTGTGCAAAGAAAAGATGGTGCTTGTCATTATATGATAATGTCGGTCATCATTCACTAGGTGTTTTCCCCCAGGCAACCATGGTTAGTTTCTTTGTTTGAATATGTGATTTGCATGCATAATAAATTAGGCTTTCAGTTGATAAGACTAAATGTATGCACATTTATGATTTGATTAATATTGTTATTCTTGTCATTATATGGTTAGTTTATTTGGATCTATGCTTCACATTCTTGCTTTATAGAATTAGAACGGGATAAAAAAATGGAGGAGAGCAATAGGAGTGTTGTTTAATTGTAGAATTCCTATTAAGTTGAAGGGGAATTTTTTTTAGGATTGCTATAAGACCTGCTTTGAAAATGAGTGTAATTGAAATGAGAATATTGAGATGGATGAGTAGTGTTAGAAGAAAACATAAAATAAGAAATGAATACATTATGATGAAGTTAGATGTAACACCAATCGGAAGTTTGACAGCAACTATGGCTGTTTTAGTAATTGCAACTATTCTGAAAAAGAAATTGATAAATGAGATATTTTAGAGTCATCATCCAATTAGGTTAGTTTATGACGCATTTTCTTGGCCAGAACTAGTGGATGTGATGATATTCTCATCACAAATGAGATATTGTGGTTTCTTGCTGGGAAACTTTTGTGGATGTGATGATATTCTCATCACATTTTTTTTTCTCAATATTTCCATTTTCTCTTTCTTAATTTCAATTTCCGAGTCAGCTGTAATCATAAAATCTAATTGTTTTAACTGCCACTGTCGAAAATGTATCACAGAACATGACTTCAATAGGAAGAAACTGGGAAATATTTTCATTCTTGTACTACATTTGTGTAGAGGTGGTAATAGATATACTGGAATTCAATGATTCGTATATGCATAGGGTTCACTCTTATTCTCCCCCCCCAGACCAAGCAAAATTTATTGTTCTCTTTTACCGTGAATACATAAATAAATAAAATTGTAGCTGCAGACTTGTAGATATTCTTAATTTTCAATCTACCCTTACTTTTGCAGATTGGAAAAATTGGGACCTTTAGAGTGGGACAAGGTAGTACATGGACATGAAGCATGGAGACTTATCACTTGTATCTGGTTGCATGCTGGTGTTATTCATCTGCTAGCAAACATTTTGAGCTTGGTATTTAAATGTGAAGTTTCTTATTCCCTAATGCTTTTCAATTGTTAGATTCTTGGTCTCAATTCCTAGCAGAGCAACATGTTGGGTTCCAATTCCCAACTTAGGGAGATGATGCAAAACCCAGAATTCATTCGTCAATTGACTTCTCCTGAAACAATGCAGGTACATTGCTTGAAAAATCTACCTCTCTCACACGCTCTCTATACGTGTTTTTATCTATAATAGACATGCATGTTATAAATATTGATTTAATGAAAGAAATGAAGGTCTGTATTTAAAAGGCTTTTATTAAGGCTTGCCTCAAGGAGAGGCTAAGGCAAAACGCATCAAGGCTTTGATCTCCCTAAAAGCTTGCACATCACAGTCTGAGGCATGCTCCTTGTATGCCTTTTGCACATTTGAGGAGTACATATGAAGAGCTTGTCTTAGGCTCTTGTTAAACTTAGTCTACTAACAGATAGTTTAAACTTAAAATAGTAAAAAAATTAAATATTTTGCAACTACATCCTATAGAAAAAATTAAGTAAATGATGAATCAAGAAAAAACACAAAATTAATGCTCAAGTGAGAAGTTCTATCACTAAACTAAGAATGTCAATTTTACTTTCAATGAAGGCAAGCTTCCTTCTCTATAGTAAAATGTTCAACCCCTTGAGATGAAAATTATTTACACTTAAATTAATTTTTATTTAAATTTTTACTATTTTAAAATATTTAATTTATTTACTAAATATAAAAATTCAAAATTCGAAATGCTTATTTCTCGACACCTTAAGGCTTATGTCTCACCTCATGAGGGGTAAAACACCTCATGTTATGCATTCACCCTCAAAAAATTTGTGCCTCCCCAACAAAATTTGTTTGGTTGCTTACTAGCCTTTTAACATCTTGTTTTGCAGTTTATGAGAATTATTTAGGATTTATATATTTGTTTATTGTGTTTCAAGAAAAGCTTAACGGTGGTGGTTAATGTTTCGTTTCTCATTCTTTTTATTTATTTATTTATTTATTGGTGTTTGTTTGTCAAGGACCAGTTAGGTTTTTAGTTTGCCTTTACAAATTTTGTCCAAGTCCTAAGTATTTCGGTTAGCTACTTAAAATCAATTTTTCCATTCCTTTTTGTAGTTATAGTTTTCACTAGATCAGTTGGTGACACATCTATTATTGGTCTCAAGTTCACCCCATGTTTGTTTTGGTTTTCCCTGTTTTTTGAACGTCATTGACTTAAATTGCAGCCACTCCGTGTGGATGCATGGTTTTTTTTTTTTTTTTGTCCAAGAAAAGAAATGAAAATGAATAATGTAAGTATTATGTCATAAAGAAGAAAAAATACTTCATGTAAGAGTAGTAATAATGAAAACAAGATGTACACAAAAATTTCTCTACAGAACACCAGTAATTGCAAACCATGTAACTGTGTCCGGCAAGATGTGCTTTTAATTAACCCATTCAGTCCCACTTATATAGAATGCTATGAGATAAAAGTCCCATTTTGTACTTTTAATAATATTTACACTTGATCTAAATAGTAAGTATATCATTAGATTTATTGTAGACATAAATATTTCTTTCTTTCTTTTTTGTTTTGTGTGTGTGTCTGTGGAGATATGTATGGTATATATGCATTAGCTGGTTACATTTATGGTATGCATACCATAGAAGTTTCCGTCTTTTGTGGAGGTTTGTAGATAAATGGTTACATTTCCTGTTTTTGTGTGGAGATTTGTATGGATCGAAAATGTGAAGTTTCACACTTATTGCATCACAGTTTTAAGTGTGAACATTCACATTTACAATGAGTAAAATAGTATGCATTTTCACATTTTCACATTTACGACCTTTACTCTTTCAAAAAATTCACATTATTTTATTAATTATAAATGTGAATATTCACTTTTGTAATAATTCACACTATTATAAATATGTATCTACATATAGATTAATAATCCAAATGAGTAAGTACCTTGGCTATCATGTTTTGGTACTACATTATGTCATATAATGCTAGATGATTGGTTGATATTCAAATTTATGTTAGGACAGCCACCCCTTTGCTTGAATAGTGTGAAATGGTGCACTATGCATTGAAGTCAGGTGTAAATAAATCTCTCAACACAAAACCAAAAGTCTGACAACCATGAATGGGTGTAGATTATGGAAACTTATTTGACTGAAGTATAGAGGGAGGGGAAACGTGTAAGTGGGCCATGAATGGGTTAAATTATGGCAACTTATTTGACTGAAGTATAGAGGGAGGGGAAACATGTACATATATATGTGTGGGTGTTTTAGTCATTTGTTAGCATGTTAGGTATCGAACTTTTAAGATTAAAAGAATATAAATAGGATTAAATGATCTACAAGTTCCTTATATAAGACTTCAAGTTAAAAACCCCTAAAAAATGGGGAGCATGAATTTTGCATTTTGCATTAGACTACTTTGGATGTAAGAAAAGCATTTTAGTGTAAAGAAAACCTGTAGGTAAGTTTTCACCTTTCTGCTTTTATTTTTTTAGTTTAATCTTTTGATGCAAGACACCATATATTTTTAATATTATCATCTTACTTACTAAAAAAAAAGAAAAGAAGGCTCCATATAATTTTTTAATTAAATTTTATACTATTATCAACTTTTAGGTACCCACATGAAGCTGTGGGCAGAAAGTTTTTATCATGAGTTTAGTATTGATAATGAAATCCATAATTGAGATTTGGAACAATGTTAATTAATTCATGCAATTTCATGGTGCAAATTAAGTTTGCATCAAACAAATTTTAAACATGAATTTCATGGTGCAATGCAAGTTAAACTGCATTAGACAAGTTAAGTTGCAATTTCCAGCAGAGCATGAATGTACCAGGAAACCCTAGAGAGGGAGCTTTCATTGATGAAAAGGTTGCAGTCCCCCTTTTCTTTTCCCTCCCAAAACGTGCATATGTATATTCATCACTGCATGCATGCATGAACCATTTTTTTGTATATTCATTTTAATGTTTTCACTTTCTTTCTTTCTTTCTTTCCTGATTCCCTCTTTCTTAACACCTGTTTTCCCCAGTTTCAGCAACTCATGACTTTACAGCAAACTCTTTTGTCTCAGCTTGGTCGGCAACCATCAACCCAATAAGTAATTTTCCTCCTAAATTTGTTTGGTATCATAATCTAACTTCAAGCCTGACAATCTTATTATAAACATTTCCTTGTCCATTACACATGCATTATTCATATAGCAGTATATATTTTTTGGCACAATCAATGCGGCCGTGTTACTGCCCAGTGCCCGATATTTGAATATTGTCTTTTATGAATTAACACACCTGCACAATACCTATATAGAATTTTGTTGTTTAGATTTTAATGCCCATTCTTTTCTTGGTTTACTTAAACGAAATTGCACTCTTGAAGGGAAGCAGGTCAAACCAGTGGGGGAACAGGTGCTTATCTTTGGAAGAATTTACTCTTTGGCTTCACTTGTGATACCTCCAATAGACTTAATGCTATTGTTTTGTTGTATATTTTAAATGTTGTACAGTGGAGCTCATCATTTATGATAGCACCTTGTCTTGCCACATCTATATCAAGTTTTAACATTCTTGGTTGCAATCAATGAGAGGGAACTTGTCAATGGTTAGTTCTACAATAGGGAACTCCAAAAGAGTCTTGAGGACTGTTGGTGTGGTAATCTTTTGATGTTACCCCCTGACCCATAAAAATTACTTTCCCAGATAAAGAAAAGGAATGGAAAGGAAAATAAAATAAAATAAACAAGTCAAAGGAAGAAGACATTATATGAAAAAAAATTCTTTCATTTTTAAAAAATTGTTGTATGTTATTTTATCTTACTGTGGGTGTGCTACTTTTCTCCCAATAGCAGGAACACTTGACAACATGGGATTGGAGATGTTGATGAATATGTTTGCGGGTCCTGGGATTGGAAGCCTTGCCGTTCCTGTCAGATCAGATGGTGACTATTATTTCCTTTTCCCCTATGCCCTACTGATTTATGCTTTGTAATCTGCTCACAGTTTGTGCCTTGTTTTTATAGTGCCCCCGGAAGAACTGTATGCCACTCAGCTCTCACAGCTACAAGAAATGGACTTCTTTGATACCCGAGAGAATATACAGGCACTAATAGCCACTGTAGGGAATGTTCATGTTGCAGTGGAGTGGCTTTTGGGGAACCCCGGTCAGTAGATTGTGATTATTGTTATTATTCTATTCAACATGACATATATCATCAATCATGGACCGTTGTAATCGGTTTTAGACACTCCGGAGGCATTTTCAAATCTTATTTTAGCTATGAATAAGTACATATTATGATAGAACTGTGAACTTCTTGACATTAGGGTATTGGTGTGGGAATACTCTTTTTCCTATCCCCCACCCCCTTCTATATATATGAAAAGAAAAAAGACTGAGATTGCAATACTTGAGTACTATGTACATACACTTTTTATGACCTGTGTCTCATAAATTGTTTAGTTATTACATCATTTTCCCAATTCCATTTTGGGTAATTATACTCTTTTCTTTACTCTCCACTGGATGGAGAAAATTCTGCAATTATTTTTTAGCCCAATATGTGTTATATTAGCTTTGTTACATTTCATTCTCCAGATGCTTAGGTTTTTCTTGTGGAATTGGTGCTCCTCCTCTGTTCTGACTTTAGCTGCTCTGGCTGCGGTTGGTACTGCAGCCTTGCTGTGTTGACCTAGCCTGGTCTTGCTGCAGCTAGGGTTGCAGTGGCTAGCTCTAGCTTATGCTCTATTTTGATATAATGTGTACCTGTCACATTTACATGTAGCTCGATTTGTTATTATACTTAATATAATAATTCCTGAGAAATATATCATGCATCCATAATCATGTCATATCATCATTGTAAATTTTTTTCCCTACTCAGCACATCAAGTTAACGTGTATATAATTTAGGTAAAAATAAAGTGGGTGGTGGATTCTCATCATTCATTGTGTTCATGCCAACAGGTACAAAATTATAATGGATGATGCATGTTTTTCTACTTCAAAATCTTCATTGATAGTGTGCCACAGTGTAATTTTGTTTCCCTTTCCTGCCCCCTTAGCAACCCAATGCTATTATAACTTTAATATTCGGATCCATCATGATTTTTCTTGACTTTTTATGCTATTATAATTTTATGTCTATAGTTGTTAACTTGGTATTTTAGTTGTGGTTTCACTAATAGATAGCTTTTGCTAGAAAATTGAGTGTCTTATCTTATCTGTTTCATTAATTGATTTGTGTGTCTTTCTCTTTGCAGCTAGCAAAAGCAGCAAAAACACAATTTTCACGTGATTACAGTGATAACCTTGCTTTTGTCCAGGCTTATGAGGCCTGGAAAGAAGCTGAAAGAGACGTAGCTGGATATGAATACTGTTGGAAGAATTTTCTTTTTGCTCAATCAATGAAAGCTATTGATGCTTTGTGAAGGGAGTTCTACTCTTTACTTAAGGAATATGTTTTAAATTTTAATGCTAAGTGGATGTGAATTGGATGATTACATAGATTACAAGCGGATTTTTAATTGAACGAATATGTAGTTTGGAATTACTTGTGGTTGAAAATTTATAATAGTTTTTGACTTTAATTAAACAGGTTCAGAGTTCGATGATTTATATAGTTTGTTGAATGTTCATGATTCAGGTGAATTGTTGGTTTGATTGATTATTGTAAATTACAGATTGTATTGAATAGATTGGATAGATTATTATGAATTGCAGGTTTATTTTATTGCATGTTGGCGCAAACATTCCTTTTGGCGACCAAATTTTTTGGTCCTAGAATGTCACAATTAGCGACAAAAATTTTTGGTCGTGGAATGTCACAATTGGCGACCAAACTTTTTAGTTGTGGAATGTGATAATTGGCGACCAAACCTTTTGGTCGTGGAATGTGACAATTGGCGACCAAACTTTTTGGTCGTGGAATGTGATAATTGGCGACAAAAGTTTTTGGTCGTGGAATTGGCGACTAACATGTTTGGTCGGGAATATGTCACTTTTCGCGACTAAAGTGTTTTAGCGACTAAATGGATTAGTCTCAGTAATAATATATTTAGCGATCAAAAACTTAGTCGGCAAATTTAACTTTTTCCCGATTAACAAAAGTTTTGGTCGCTAATTACTTTTGCCGACCCTCAATTGGCGACCAAGGTGGCGACCAAAAAAATTGGTCGCGAATAGTTTTTGCCTACTAAAAATTGACTTTTGCCGACCAAATTTTTAGTCGCCAAAAATGCTATTTCTTGTAGTGAATATTGCCGACCAATACTTTTGGTCGTGGAATGTATTGCCGACCAAATTTTTTGGTCGCGGAATGTGACAATTGGCGACCAAATTTGTTGGTTGTGGAAATGGGCGACAATTGCCGACCAAACTATTTGGTCGTTGAATGTGCGAATTGGCAACTAACATGTTTGGTCGGGAAAATATGACTTTTCGCGACTAAAGGGTTTTAGCTACTAAATGGATTAGTCGCAGTAATTATATATTTAGAGACTAAAAATTTAGTCGGCAAATATGACTTTTTCGCGACTAAAAAATTTTTTAGTCGCTAATTACTTTCTGCGACCCTCAATTGGCGACCAAAGTGGCAACCAAAAAAATTAGTCGTGGATAACTTTTGCCGACTAAAAATGGACTTTTGCCAACAAAATTTTTAGTCGGCAAAAGTGTAAATTCTTGTAGTGATAGGGAATGCTTTTCGTATTTGAAGACCAAACAATGATTTTTACCATTTCATAAGTGTAATGTAGTAATGGATTGTACTACTTCATTTGTTTTTTGGCCGAGTGCTATTTTTTTTGTAAGGAGTAGTGTCCTCTCTTTTATTGTAAGCCTCAGGACATTTCTTTTATTTGTATGTAAATGTCATTGTTGTATAATGAGAGGGAATATGTATATTTAATTATTCATCATTTCATCCAAGGATGAAATGTTATTTGTAAATGGACTTAATTAATGAATATCGGTAAGGTTATCCGAGTAATAAAATACGGGGCGTTACACATATGATGCGCATGACCCTTATTCCTAAGATCCTTTTCAAATTCAGTTACGATCCTAGTTGAATATACAAGTTTATTCAGAAACTTACAGATATATCTATCATTCACTTCCGTATTCTTCTACACCTATGAATCTATGATACCTAAATGAGTACGAAACACCAAAATCAAGATCCAAAACACAAGAAAAACACGATACTTAATAAATTTTTAAGGATTTCACCTTTTGAGAGGAGAATGCTTTTCTTTTTCAACTCTTTGATCTTGCTTCCATGTTCTCAACTCAAAGTTCTATGGCTGAAGGTGGGCTGAAAACTGACATGGATCCAATTTGTTTGTGCCTAAGCTACTATGGTTTAATGTTGCCTCTCCCAAAAGCCAGTTTTTTGGCTGGTTTGATTGGTAATGGAGGGTGAAAACAGCTTACGATTTGCAAAAAAAATGGTGCTCTAGTAATGTCTGCCCTTTTTTGTAAAAGTGAGAACTAGAGAGAGAGAGGTTAGCAGCAACAAAATAAGGAGTGACTTTTCCATAGGGACAATAGGTTTACTATGCTCGACAACATGAAGTATAAGAGCAGAGAGTGCAAGACAGATTTGTGTTAAAAGCTGTCACAAAGATAAACCAACTTTCAATCAAATACTTCTTTAAGTAACCCAAAACATATACATAAATAAACACTTCATTCAAATGATAAATACAACACCAAAATAAAACAAAACAAAAAAACAAAAAAAAAAACAAGATGCATTAGCAAAATCTAACATTCAATCGAGCTTTCTGACAGAATGCATCAGCAAAATCTAACATTCAATCGAGCTTTCTGACAGCATGCATCAGCAAAATCTAACATTCAATCGAGCTTTTTGATAGAATATCCCAAAAATTGCATCTCTTTCAAGCATTAGAGCACCCATAGATCCAATCAGGATAAAGAAGAGAAAGCACTTGTGAGGTGCCTGAACTAAATCTTTTAGTAGCCACAAGAAGAGCATTTAGCAGAGCATCTTTAACTCTCAATTGCAAATAATATCCTTCATTTTGGATCTGTAAAATGACAGAAGAATTGGAAATTTATTAATGTACACCTGAATAAACACGTGTGTACATATGTCTGCAACAAGATGTTAAAATGGGGCAAGATGAAACTATTTGGTCAGAGCATAAAATAATAATTCTAAATACTTTGTCATGTGTGTGTCTAGACACATCCAAAAAAGAGAAAACTGTATGAAAGCTTGTCAACAACTTCTGTATTAATTCTATAGACTATTTTGAATGAAGGGTGCTGAATTCATCGGCTAAAATTTTGAACTTCTTTCATGTAAGTATAAAGAAATATCTATGTTGCTCTTTATGAAAGTTCTAGGGCAACTCCACTGAGCCACCTACCAAGCATCACTAGTATAACTCAAGATCTTTTGAGCTAAGTCTTGATTTTAGCAGATCAATAAGCCTTTAACAGACAAAATTTGCACTAGTTGGTGGCTTCGTGCAAACGAGTATTTCTAAAATATTCATTATAAGATAGACAACCAAAAGTTTAGTTCAATTTGGTTCAATTCAGATTAAAATTCTTGTTATTTTTTTCTTTTTTTTAGTTCATACTCAAAATTAATGGCCAATTCTGGGTCTGTCAACAAACTCTTCCTTAGGCACCCGTCGCACTCAAAAATATAAAATAAAAAAAAATAGC